AAAAACTGAGGACTGATGGATGTGGGGGGGAGGGGGGGATGGGCATGGAGGAGGGCACTTTGGGGATGAGCACTGAGTGTTATGTAGAAACTAATTTGACAATAAACTATTTGTAAAAAAAAAAAAAAAAAAAAAATTAACCGAAAATGGACTAGAGACTTGGACATAAGGCTCCAAACTATAAAACATCTTGAAGAAAACATAGGCAGTAAGCTCCTTAATATCAATCCTGGGGATGACCTTTTGGATCTGACACCAGAAACAAAGGCAACAAAAGCAAAAACAAACAAGTGGGACTACATCTAACTAAAAACTTTTGCAAAGCAAAGGAAACAACAAAATGAAAAGACATCCTACTGAGTGGGAGATATATTTGCAAATCATATTATCTGATAAGGGATTAATACCCCAAATATATAGAGAACTCATACGATGCAATACGAAACAAAACAACAACAACAAAAAACCATACACACACACAAAAACAAACAAACAAAATCAATCCAATTAAAAATAGGCAGATAATTTGAACGGGCATTTTTCCAAAAATACACACAGATGGCCAACAGACACATGAACAGACGCTGAATATCATTGATCATCAGAGAAATGCAAATCAAACCACAATGAGCTATCATCTCATACCTATTAGAATGACTATTACCAAAAAGACAAGAAACAACATGTGTTGGCAAGGATGTAGAGAAAAGGGAACACTTGTGCATTGCTGGTGGACATGTTAATAGGTGCAGCCACTACGGAAAACAATATGGAGGCTCCTCAAAAATTAAAAAAACAAACAAACCCACAAACAGATGATCCAGTGATTCCAGTTCTGCTTATTTATCTGAAGAAAATGAAAATGCTAACTCAAGAAGATATCTGCATCCCCATGTTCACTTCAGCATTATGTACAATAGCCAAGATATGAAAACCACCCAAGGGGGGGGTGGGGGGGAATGGAATATTACTTGGCCATAGAAAAGAAGGAACTGCTGCCATGTGGACAACATGGATGGGCCTTGAGAGCATTATACTAAGTGAGACAGTCAGACAGGAAAAGACAAATACTGTATGATCTCACTTTTATGTGGAATCTAACCCCCTCCCCTAAGGAAACAAAAACAAAAACCCAAATATAAGCTTACAGAGAACAGACGGTGGTTGACAAAAGTGAGGGTGGGGTAGGCACAATGGGTGACAGGAATTAAAAGGTATTTAGACTTACACTTATAAAGTAATTTAGTCGTGGGGATGTAATGTAAAACATGGCAACCACAGTTAATACCACTGTAATGCAATATTTGAAAGTTGCTAAGACCAGTACCAGTAAAAGCTCTCATCCTAAGAAAAAAAATTTGTAACTATGTATAGTGATGGATAGTAAGTAAACTTCATGTGGTGATCAATTTGGAATATACAAATACTGAAAAAGTACGTTGTATATCTGAAACGAATATAATGTTATGTGTCAATTATACCTCAGTTAAGAAGTAATAATACCATATCTGGTTTATGGCCACAACAATATTTTTTAATAATCAGAAATATTAACCTGTAATAAAATTGAAAGTTTATTTAATGTACTTTTACCCATCACTGCCCTGAATATTAACTATTAAATATTTATTAAAAAAATATTTTCAGTATCAATTTAAAAAAGAGACCGTTTCCATAATATGGTCCAACAAGAAACCAACTGCTCAAATGACTTCTTAAACATCAATCTTGAATTTGGTTTTTACCTGTTCACGTAGCATCTCTAATGTTTTCATCTGCTTGTTTCTCAACTCTTTATCTCGGGCAAAGGCAAAATATCCAACAACAAGTTGCCGGGCCTCTGAAATAAGTCAGAATTGTTCAAAAGATTAGAGTTCCCTGAATAATAAATTAAAGTCAGGCTAAATTTCCTACCAAAGCAAAAAGAAACGCAGCGATATCTGGCACAAGTTGGGGGGAAAAAAACAGGACAAAAAGATCTCCTCCTTATGATTAACAGGCCCTCTGTTAGAAAGATATTCCCAACAAGAGTACTTTTTAGGCTATAAAGTGAACAAAGGGGATATATTCAATTCCAAAATCAGAATCTTTTATTTCTATATAAGGGCTGTAGCTTTATGGATAGTTCCCTCTATGCTTGCCATTAGTTAAAAAAAAAAAACATTTAAAAATCTGCAAGATGATTATACCATTTTCGCGAATGTCTTCATAATGTATGGGCCCCATTGGCCTTTTCAAGGCCTCTCTTTCTTCTTCCTCCCATTGCTGGCGCTGAAGTTCTTTTCTCATATCTTCAGATAATAAGGTTTTCTCATTAGCAGGACTAACGAAACTAGTAGGGGGACAGAGCAAAGCTATATTTAGATAAGAGCTGCGGGACAGCAGTACTTCAGTAAGCTGGATCATGGACAGGAAATTCTAGCTGAAAAAGAAGACAATTCCTTACAGAATTTTTTGACCCACAGTACCACTGGCAAGCTGTGGAAACTGCTTCCATCTTCCTTTCAGCGAGTAGCCAACTTACGACATTAGTGCAACAGAATCTTGCCTCAGCACTGGAGACACATCACTTTCCTCCCGTCCCCTTCGGGGCTAAAGGGGAGGGGGAAGCCAGGGCCTTGTGTGCACAGTCACTGTACAGGGCCGAGGAAGCCACACAACACTGTAGCCAGGCAGGGTCTCCTGTCCCGTGTCAGATGGCTCAGGGCTTCTGTACCTCCTTCCTTGTGCTGAGCCCAGGCTGATCTGGACCTGAAGGACTTGGACAAGGTGGACCTTCCACATCAAAACTGCCCTCGGTGAGGGGAGTTTTATTCCCTGGAGCATACTACCAAGTTCTCTCTTAGATGTCTTAGGCCCTATAGAAAAAAATCTAGTGATATGGCCTTTGCCTCAAAATGCAAAAATTAGCATAAAGGAAAAGTTAATAAGCTAACCACCTCTCTCCTCTCGCTTCCTATGGGATAACCAAGTATATATTCCTAAATGCCTTTCTCCGCAAAGGTTTGTTTGTTGGTTTGGGCTCATTCTATATTTTTAACGCTGATATCAAACAGCTTTCCAAGTAAAAGGATATAGCTCCAACTCATCCCTTTCAGTAGCTACACAGTATGGACGACCAACTACTCAGGTTGTTCCCCGAGTGTGGATGATGTGTGCACACGAACCACACAACAGTTCTTCAGCAAATATTCTTACGCATTAAGGAAAAAACCCTCTAACTGGACCATCAAAGATGATGAACTAAAAGCAGCCTCACCCATAAAATATCCCTGTGTCTGCATTTTGGACGTGGGCAGAACTTTGCATATCACATACTTACAGCCTCCCTTGAAGATTTTTATCCATCTCCAGCAGATGCGGCAAATCCTTTTTCATACAGCGGCGAGATCGTCCTAAAGAATCCATGTAATCCACCCTGAAATAAAAGTGAAAACATGTGAGGATGGCTTTGTACGTCCCTAGGCTACAGACTAGGTGCACTGTAAAAAAGTAACAGAAGTCTCACTACCAGGAAAACACTCAACCTGAGAGACCATAACCACTGATAACAGCATGCTTTTTAAATTTTTTAAATTTTTATTTATTTTTTAATGTTTTATTTATTTTTGAGAGAGAGACAGCCTGAGCAGGGGAGGGTCAGAGAAAGAGGGAGACACAGAATCCAAAGACAGGCTTTAGGCTCTGAGCTGTCAGCACAGAGCCTGATGCGAGGATTGAACCCACCATCCGTGAGATCATGACCTGAACCGAAGTTGGACACTCAACCGAATGAGCCCCCAGGCACCCCAAGCTTGCTTTATTTAAAGCTGACACACAATAAACTCATTGTGCCCTTTGTTAAACCCTAGTTTTAGAAAAATGCAGAAACAATGATTGATCACATACGTCTTTGGTTTAAAAATACCCCACACAGGGCCACCTGGGTGGCTCAGTCAGTTAAGCGTCCGACTTCTGCTCAGGTCATGATCTCACAGTTTATGAGTTCCAGCCCCATGATGAGTTCCAGCTCTCTGCTGATGGCTCGGGGCCTAGAGCTTGCTTCAGACTGTCTTTCCCTCTTTCTCTCTGCCCCTCTCCTACTTGTGCACATACTCTCTCACGCTCTCAAAAACAAACATTTAAAAAAAATAAATAAAATAAAAATACCCGACATAGACCCTTGCTGGAACACCTCAGAACTTACTTCAATCTGGTTTAGGCAATTCCACATATTTTATCAGCATAATAACTTTGCTCTGTACCACTCTCCACTTGCTTATTTTCTCAGTCTTTGCAAACCTGACTTTTTATTCTTTCTTTTATTTCTTTTAAGTGGTACAGCTCTTTCCAATTAGAAATTTCTCAAGTTGTGATTACTTTGAGGACCCATTAATTAGGGGTCAAGCAACACACATTTTGTACTGCAAAAACAGCTCAGCGGCAGGCGGGCCAGTCTATTATCTTCCACTCCTAGTTCCTCTTGCTTTAGCTTTGCCCAAACTAGACAGAAGTTACAGTCAGGGGAACCAGGCACACAGCAAGGCAAAATGAAATACTGCTACTTCCCACAACAGGAAATATGGACAGATTTTGATGGAAAACATTTCAGGTGCATTATGACGCAACCGATCTATTGTTTATTTGCGGGCAAGGAATTTCCCACAGCCTTGGGCAGGGTGCTAAAAACACAGAAAGAGGTCAGTACTGCTGGTGCAACTCAAGAGCAGAGTCTCGTGTATGTGGCTTTGCTTTTAGCAGTTTCTTCCCTCTCACATGTGCTGATCCCAACTGTTAGCCCACGCTTAGAAAACTGAACGTCTGAGAATCTATTACTGCAGTCCTGACACTGATTACCACAAGAAATAAAACTCCAACTGCAGAAAGCAGTTTCTTTCTTCCTCCCCACCCCCTTTTTTTTAACGAAGAGAGAAAGAAAATCATCTAGCCAGATGGCCTCCGTAATTATTTACAGTATTTTTGCGCAAAGATTTCCCACCACCTGGACCTTAACTACCGAAAGGATCTGACAAGTAGCACCGATTCTGGAGCTTAATTTAAAAACAAAGCAAGTGTCAGAACTGCTTGCGGTGCCTCTTCCTTCGCCATATGGCGGCATGTGACACCTTCAATTGCCCTCCAAACTCTTCACATCACTGACAAATTGCTAGTAATCATACAAGCATTAGGAAGAAAAAAAAGACATTAAACCTTTCAAAGGAGATGAAGTTTCTGCTATGAAAAGCAATCATAGGCTATTCTGTTTCTGGAAAAGGTCTCTATACTGTACAGATTCCCTCAAAACAGAAGTGGCAAGACAGCAGTCAGCAAGGGCTCGATGCAGTCAGCAATCACTGAACGAGCTCCAGGGAAATAATTACTTGAGATTCAAGAGTAATACAGCAGGGCTCAGGGTCATGGCATCCTCAAAGGGCTCTCAGGAAAAGCTAAGGCACGTGTCCATGAAACTCTTCCTAACATCAGCAGGGAGGATACAAAAAGTACCACAAGTCTGCCTTCAATTTTTTTTCTGGTAATGAGGCCTGTGTGTGTCAATAAAAACAAGGTAAGACCCAAAGAAGCTGGAGGCATATCTAAGTGCTACCAGAGCTGGGGTGAGAGGGAAATCACTCATACCAGAAACAATGAGGAAAAGCATCAGAAGGGACTACATCGTATGTGCGTCTCTCTGGGTTGCTTTTAACAAGGAGGCAGCCAGACAACCTGCCCAAATATAAATTCTTAGAAAGCAGCTAACACCTGTTCTATCCCAATGTCATGTTATCTCTGGACGACGTGGACCCCTTCGTAGTATGAGATGTGGGGCCCTGTGATCCTGAGGAGCTGGAACTGCTCACTTAAGCTCACCAGTGACTCCTGCCGGCAGGGCCAAGAGCTGACAAAAGGTCAGCCAGTGCTGCGAACCACCCTGAGCAGTTCCAAACACAGATCCCGGTAACGAGGACGTCTCAGCCTGGAAGGGGAAGGTGGGCAGGCAGAGGCTACCCTCCAGACGTTTCTACGCCATCAGGGCAGCTCTGTACAATTTTAAGCACTTCTGAACAAGTCTGTAAACAGTCTTTAGTAGAGAAAATCCTTGGAAGGGAATTTTCATTCTGGTCTCTGTACTGACTGACACAGCGGTCTATAAGGAAAAGCCTAGTTTGGCTTCCCCATCATTCATGTACATGTAGGTAAAATTCAGAATAGTTTCAATACAAGTTTATAAAATGTCTGCTTGTACTCTACAGAGCAGTTTCTTGGGTAGCTTAACATACCCTTACTTCCTGAAGGGAGTTTAAGGCAAACAACTTGATCAAGGTCATATTGCCAGTGAAAGACGGAGCTACCACGATGCGGGACCAAGATCCACACGGCCCACATGGCCCTGCGAGAAACTGCCCCGGCCTGAGTCCTGCCTGCTTCTTTCCTGTGGAAATGCAGGTCACCAGCAGCTAGACAGTGACTCTCCGCAATGCCTGAGTAACAACCGGGGGCGCAGCCCAGGTAATAAAGGAACATGCCTCTGTCTAAACAACGCTTCCACATCAATAAAATAGGCATATCGACACCTTTTGCACCTGACTCAGTCTTGTTAATTATTTCGTCTTTGGAGTTACTGTTTCTGTAAATCCAACCTTAGAGGAAAGAAAAGAGAGGAAGACTAAAGAGAAATGGTTTGATAACATCCCCCCCCCCCCCCCCCACAAAAACAAAACAAAAACAAAAAACAACACTTTCAAAAAGTAAACACAAGTCGGGGCACCTGGCTGGCTCAGTTGGTGGAGCATGTAACTTTTGATCTTAGGGTCATGAGATAAAGCCCCATGTTAGGTGCAGAGCTTATTTAATAAAAAAAAAAAAAAGTAAACACAGTCTGCGAATGTTAACATGACCAATTCATGTCATTATCACCAACCATTCTTCACTGGGGTCCTGGGGAGGAGGTATATCTTTCTCAGAAAGATTTTCTTCATCATAGTCTCTTTCTCCTGCCATTCTACAATCTCTATTGGCACCAAACACCTCCATTTCTTTGTGTTTGTCTATGATCTTCTGTGTGAAATCCACAAGGTACATATCCTCCACTTCTTCATCTAAGACATAAAAATCAATATTCAGATTTTTGACATTCATTTCAAAGAAAAAAACCAAATAAAGAATTGCTATGAAGAGGTCACATTCAACCCTGCATGGCTACAATACCCCTGGACGGCTCACTAGTCGATGCACCCACCACCCCCACCATCCCCAATAGTTTACGAAGACACAGAGCCACTGCGGGACCTGACCAGGAAGCTGCAAACAGGCCATCAGAAACACATACCACACTAAAGAAAATCTTCAAAGAGTCTAATGTCTTCTGTTACCTCGTCAATACAGTGAGTGAGCAATATGGTCTCAGAATGCAACTTTAAGATCAAACCATGTGATTTCAAAGAGACACGTTCACCCAATGACATAACACAGAAGCAGGACTGCATTGCTCATGTCGCCAGAACAGAGCATTAGACTTGCGTTGCTACATGAACCTCCCCAATAAAGGGGCTGTATTACTACTAACCCTAAGTATACTGCTGTGGTATGGTGTTTTAAGGGTCCTAATATAGATAAAAGTCATCTGAATTCTTTTCAACCCAATGAACACCACTTTCAGGCAAGGCATGGGGCCAGATTTGCAGTGCACACAGGGACGGCTAAGACTTAGGGCTTATTATATGCTTGAGCTAACACAAGCATACACTGAAAGTTAAATAGCAATCCGTGACTTTAATTTAACCCAAAATAGTTGATATATTCACAAATAACATTTACACGAAGTTTCACTATGCTAAATTTTCTGAAGTTGTTCTCTGAGGACAGGATTAAGCTCCACAGAACAGATTTTAGGTTCCCTGTCACCAAGTACTGGTGTTAGCCCCCAGGGTACAGTGGAGAGTAACTGAACTCCAAAACTCAACTTGCCCACATATGCGGGTCCAACATGCCTATCAGGCCTGTCGGGAGGTGGGCCCGCCACTGTGTATGGAACCAAATCCCCATGTCCACAGGCACACTCTTTTGATCTGATTTTAATATTAACAATGCAAGTAAAGTTTGAATCAAAAGACTTTAATTTTTTTTAAATTTTATATTTTATTTATTTCTGAGAGAGAGAGCGCATGAGCAAGCAGGGGAGGGTCAGAGAGAGAGGGAGACACAGAATCTGAAGCAGGCTCCAGGCCCTGAGCTGTCAGTACAGAGCCTGATGAGGGGCTCAAACCCACAAACTGTGAGATCATGACCTGAGCCGAAGTCGGATGGTTATCCGACTGAGCCACCCAGGTGCCCCAGACTTTAATTTTTTTTTAAGCCACAAAATCACTCGCATGGGAAAGAGGTGTACTTTCCCAAAGCAGAAATTTAAGACTGCAACACAGTGAGACCTCCTGGTTAATGGACACCCTGCTGCTGCTTCAAAAGGAAGACACAGCCTCTCTGTCCCCCAGCTTTGAGGGTGCCAACCCTCCTGTGTTGGGCTCCCAGCCATGCAGGAAACAGCCTCTACGGTCTGGCTGGGAGGGCAGCCAATGACCAGGGTTCCAGCCCTGCCTCTTCTCCTGCTGCCCCAGTGCCCCCTTTCCCAGCCCGTCAGGCCCCGCCATACCAGTCTGTCCTGCCAACACTGGCCTTCTGCTCCCTCTGCTGATCTGCTCTTACCACTCTACCCTCAGAATCCTTTTCCCAGCTCTTCAAAGCCTGTGAGATCTTATTAGAGCCTATCTTCTCCCCAAAGACTTCCTCACATGCCTTCTGGCAATGAAACATGCACTGCCTTGTAAAATCTCTTCTACTGCGATCTAATAGTAAGGCTGGGCTTTCTTTCTCTGGGGGGCATGAGGAAAGGGCGATCTTTTTATTATTTTAGAAGCAATTACAGGCACATCACAGGAAAAACAGAAAACAGGGACAAGGAAACAGAACTCCAACACACTGATACACTATAATTCCCCTCAGCTTTTTTTTTTTTTTAACGTAGATGGAACTGTTTATAATTATAGCCAATTTAGACCTTGTTTCCTAACTCTGCTTTGTTCTGTGTGCCACCAATCTCCACTGATGACCACCCCTTTGAAGGCTGAAATGGAGGATCTGGCTCATGCTACCCTTGTTTGCCCCCTCACAGCACCTAACATGTGGCCTGAGACACACTGAGCACTCAGAGATTACTGTGGATTTATCTTCTGGTCTCTGTGCTGGCACAGAAGGTCATTTATATTATTTCTTAGATCTCTCCCCACTCTTAAGGTTATTTTAATAAATAATAATATACCACAGGGCTACATGAACTACAAAAAATAAAGAAGTATGAATAAATTTTTACATTTACCTATAAAGTCTGCTTTAGTCATTTTCTCATATAATTTGGCTTTTTCTTCTAATTTCTCCCTAGGAGGAAAAAAAAAAAAGACAAGTATTAGAAATGGTCTTACACCTGCTACTCTGTGCGGCTACCTCAATGCTACAGTCTGCCCGGGAGGCCCAGTCTGGCGATGAGGGGGACTATGCCGCCCTGAGGGGACCCTCAGACCCAGCCACAACTGACTGCCAACTTCATGTAAGTTCCATAAGGACGAGGCCTATCTTCCTCTTATTCATGACTGAATCCCTAGATACCTAAGGATCTAGAATGATACTGGCAGATAGTAAATTATCAGTATCTGAAAATAATGAATTAAGATTCCAAATGCAAACTAAGTTAAATACCAAAAAAAAAGAAAGAGGTGTCTAAACAAAAACATTTTCTACGTACAACCTTCTAAAGGGATCGCCAAATCCAACGTACAGGCTTTGCATGACTGTTTTCAGGCATGAGTCCCTGGTCATCCAGGGAGCTCAAGTTCAACTTCATAGAAGTCTGTTAAAAATATGATGTCTGTTTTATAGAGAGCATGAATAATTTATTCATGACACAGCTAATAAAAAAACAAACATCAACCCTGGTATTTCAATAAATCAGCCTCACTGCTCGTGTTAATTCTGGTGACATGTACTTTTTAGTGGGCTCAGACTGAGTAAGTGCCTGGCGATTCTTTGTTTTAGAAATACTTCACGATGGTAAAGAGAAGTCCCAAAGAAGCCATCAGAGCTTTTGCTTGGGAAGAATCAATCACAGTCATAAAGGAAAATTTCACTTCTGATGGCGTCCCGACACAATACAGTCCCTTGGTCACATGGCTGTGTGCTCTGGAAAAAATTACTTCACCTCTCTTGTACCCCACCCCACCCTCAGCTCCTAAATCTGTAATAGATGAAAAAACAGCACTGCCTCATAGGGTTGTTATGGAGGGTAACCAGATCACACTCAGAGGGCATGCCATCAGCTACGTCATCTGCATCTTTGTCAATCTTTCTAGGTCACAAAGATTCCTGTCCCCTTTTACGCACTCTTTCAAGTATTTCTTCCAGGCCTCCTCTATGCCAAGTGTGGTTTCCGGTGCCGAGGAGTCAGCAGTAAACAAGACAAAGTCCCAGCGCTTATAGAGCTTATGTTATAGAAAGGAAGGAGGAGACAGAGATCGATCAGTGAGAAGGAAGATTTCAGACAGGAGCACTACGAAGGGGAGGAAATGAAAGCAGTTGTTGCCACTGGAGGCCCTTAACTTCCAAAAGGTAAACTTGCTCTATTTCAGAGGGGGCTTAATGTAATAAGCTGTGTCGTCATAAAATCTTATTGTCTTAATGAAAATAAAACTTAAAAAACAAACCACAAAAAAAACAGGTGTCAGGACAGAGTAACCAGGAGGACACTAGGCTAGAAAGGGTAACCAGGGGAAACCTCTCCGAAGGAGACATTTGAGCGAAGGCTTACAGAGCAAGAAGCCAACCACAAAAGGATCTTGGGGAGAGAGCAAGTGAGGCAGAGGAAGGATGAAGTAGGAATGAGCTCGATATGTTCAAACAGAGATCAGAGCGGCAGAGGACGCTGAGCAAAGGAGAGGGGGCACAAAATAAGGACAGAGAAAGTACAAGAACGCATGGGAGGGGCACCCGGGGGGCTCAGTTGGTTAAGTGTCCAACTCTTGATTTCCGGTCAGGTCACGATCTCAGTTCATGGGGTTGAGTCGCACGTAGGGCTCTGGATTGGTGGCACTGAGCCTGCTTGGGATTCTCTACTTTTCCTCTGCCTGTCCCCCACCCCCCAGCACACAGGAGCACTCTCTTTCTCAAAAAATAAATTAACACACACACACACACACACACACACATACACGTGGGAAAGCATAAGAAGCCTGGGTGCAGCATAAGAGAAAGAAGGCAGGAAGAGTCTCCAAAAGACTAATGGAGATCAAGGAGGATGTCAGAGAAATGGCCACTGGATTTAGTAGATGAGGAAGTAATCAGAGACTTTAAAGAATGAGAATTCATTGGGCAAGAGTATGGGACACTTATCTGGAACCACTATGTGCCAGACACTATGTATCTCCTTTCATTTCGTAAAAAGCTCCATGAGCTGAGTATTAACCACCTCACTTCATAGAAAAGGAACATCTCAATGCAGAAGTTAACTTGCCTAAGGCCTTACATCCTCAAGGGACTGTCCCTGCCCATTTTGAGCTCTGGGGAGACTCAGAAGTCCTACAGACCAAGAACAGACTGGACTCTTTGCAAGTGCAATGAAGCCAAAATATTATGTAATAGGTTCCTGGATTAAAAAAAAAAAAATCACAGCAAAGTACCCAGGAAAACTCTGTCATAAACAGTAAATAACGAAGGATTATGGCACCTTTCGACAAATTAGAATTCTGTGAATATTCCAGTAGGTGAGAGAGATGTCTCAAAAATCAACACAGCCTATGTCTACTGCGAATAGGTCAAACACTAAGAAGAACAAATTCCCCAAATGTGCTAATATTCTGCCTCTTTTTCTCAGACCCAGAAGAGCTGAGTAATCTTAGCAACCACTGTTTCCAAGTGCAGAGTTTTTATTACGCAACAGATGCAAAAGCACATGAGTCATGACAGACATCCGAACTTGGGATTCCCTCTGAGCCTAGGGTGACACTGCAAGTAATGAAGAGTTCTTCTTTACAGAAGAAACGTCAGCTAAGAAATGCAATGAAGAAATAAATATGAAATGACTGAATTAGAAAAATCATCACTTTGAAATTGCCAGTCCAACAACTGAGAAGTCAAGGTTCCACCGGGTGGAAATAAGCTGGTGAACAAGATATTCTTGGTCTCAGAGTTGCTCTCCTTAGATTATTATTAATTACAAATCTGAAAGAGACCTTTACAGTGGAAAACTCTAGCAGGTCTATCTTAACCAAGTGATCAAAATTTGTCATCAATAATAACTCAAACCGACACGGTGAACCTCCGGCTGTGATCCGATAGTGAAGACACACCATCTATGCCTTATTCTCACCAAAAGCAGTAAATTAGCAGCGACTTTGAGCAGATTGTGGGACATTGCAGACATAGGTCTGGACTCGTCAAGAACAGTAATGATACAACAGACAACAAAAAGTCACGGGAATTATTCTAGATTAAAAGAGACTAAAGAAATATGACAACTAGGGCGCCTGGCGGGCTCAGTGGGTAGAGCATGCGACTCTTGATCTTGGGGATGTGAGTTCGAGCTCCACGTTGAGTATAGAAATTACTAAAAAAAATAATTAAAAGAAAAGAAAAAAGAGAGTCCTGATCTATACAAAATCTCTACCTCTTTAAAAAAAAAAAAAAAAAAAAAAAAGAGGGGCGCCAGGATGGCTTGGTCAGTTGAGCATCCGACTCTTGGTTTCGGCTCAGCTCATGCTCCCAGGGTCGTGGGATCAAGCTCTGCATTAGGCTTCCTACTGAGCGTGGAGTCTGCTTACAATTCATTCATTCTCTCTCTCTCTTCCCTCCACCCTCTGCTCTCCCTTACTCACACCCTCTCTCTGAAAAACAGAAGGACAGAAAAGAAGAAAAAAAGAAGACAGACTAAATGGAATGTGTAATCTTTGAATTCTGAAATTAAAAAAAAAAACTATAAAGGACTTAATTGTACCAGGACAAGTGTAAACCTGGACTACAGACCATATAGTATGTAACAGTATTTTACCAGTTAAATCTCTTGGGTATGATAACACTACTGCGGCAGGAGAGTATCCTTGTTCCTAGGAGGTACAGGCTGAAGTATTTTGAGGCAAAGTATCACAATGTTTAACAAAGTTTCTCTGTAACACACACACAGGACAAAGAAAGAGGCCAAAGCAAATGTGGAAAGACGCTAAATGATGAATGTAGGCGCTGTACTTCTTTCAATTATTCTGTTGCTTTGAAGATTTTCAAAATAAAAAGTTAAAGGGAAAATTCAGTTTCTAAATGCTAACGTCATAATCCCTAGTAACCCAGAGCCACACCTCCCCAGGGACATGTCTGAAACACTTGTTGATAATCCTGGTGCCTGACAAAGGCTCAAAGTGGGATTCTGCTTCATCTTCCAAACTGAGGTTATGTCTTATCTCCTTCTAAGGTTACCAACGATATT